ATTTATTTTATTTGCGGCTAAACTGCTTAACCTTAAAAGTAAAGATTTTCCTAAATATAGATACTAATTCTAAATGCATGTATAACTACTGGCTATCTAACCCCATATCGTATTCTTGTTTGGGTGTGGTCACACCATGCCCATCGGTGTGACACACACCCCTGTTACCAGGGTATGTGTAACCCCGTTACAGGTCACTTCTCTTTCGACTGGGGGATACAAAAGGTCGGGATTCCACGCAGGGTCGTCATACAAGAGTCCCAGGTGAAGCGGAACAGCCTTCTGAGAAGAACTAACACTTGTCAATCTCGAAAAACAATTTATGATGGCGCATACACTCGAGTACGACTCGCACGTGATTCATGTCGCTCTTTCTCTGACGACCCTTTCTCTGCATAATCATGGATGGATGTTAAGTTCGTGCATAACCACGATGTAGCCAAAGCAGCTAAGTCTCCACCCGATTGAACGTCGCTGGTGTGTGAGACAAAGCCTGTGGCATAACAAGATTCCTCCGGAGTATTTTGCTCGGGTGTTCGCCGCGGCGATAGGAAAACGCTGTTTCTCATGAGCAGCTAATATCACCCACAAGACATATCAAGGGTACTGAACAAAATGCAATCGGCCGTATTTTCTTACTAACACTTCCTTTCGAAAAGTCGCAGTTTGCACCGAAGCATTGTGGTGGCATTTAGATTATTATACGTATGCACATCTCACCTCTTTACCGTAAGCCTTTTGAAAAAGTGGACGCGATTTACTTTCTTTTCAGTCCCGCTTAATGTTTTTATGGATGAAAGCTTATTAGAAGTAATATAAGTATCTTTTCGAAAGGTTGCCGATTTGTCCGACTTTTTCGATCCGACATTCGCAAAAACTCTGCGTCGGTCTAGTGGCGTACGTGTTATGACGGCATAAGTGGATGCAGTTAAGTCTTACAATTTGTGAGTGTTTTTCATGTTAGTCAACATCAGTTTTCCTATGGTCATTGATAAAATTATATAATATATGTACTTCATGACATGCGGCTTGCAGTCCACGTGTCACGCGGACCTCTTCTATGATTCGCATTGGTTTCATCTGAACTAGCACTTTGGTACTTTCAAACAGTTGTAGCATTAATGAGACCAGTAATATTTTATAATCTATTTTGAAATTTTTGACCCGATTTTCTTAGTCATTCAGCCTTCTATGTGTTGGATGGAAATCAAGGGAGAACAAGGGTGTTCCTCGGGTATATTGAGTCAGTCGGTGGTGGACTTGAAAGATGTAATTTTGACGAAACAGAAGTACAACTTCGCTGCGAGCAAACTTGAGCGATTCCTCACCAATATGTGGTTACCTGAAAAAAAGGGAAAAGAAAGATCTTTCACACAACTAGTATTATCCGATACGTGATATCCATGCCTTTTGTGCCAATATAAATAAATATTTTCATCTTTGATTGATGGTATGTGACGCCATTTAATTAGCTGAGACACGAATCGATCGAACGTCCCTCGCCCACAAAAAGCAATTGGATTCGTGGTGAAAAAATCTTCTGTGGGCGAAGCTGCTGACCACGATGGGAAAAGACTTAGATACACACGGAGCCGAGAATGTCATTGTACTTTCACTATTTGGAGAATAAGCTGGTGAAAGACAAACGTCTGTCATCTCGTATCAGCTTCATGATTAGAGATGTTATCGAGTTGCGCCAGCATAGATGGGAGCCGCGTCGAAAGGAGCTTAAACAGAAGACATTGAATGAAATTCGAAAAGAGGCCGAGCGAGAGGCACGTGCTCCGCCAACCAGCGCGCCTGGTGGTGGGAGCCGGGATATTGGAGATCGCGACCACTTCCGATTGGACCGTCGTTCCAATTCGTCTCGTGATGGCTCTTTTAGTAGTCGTTCGACAATGGCACCAGTGTATCAGCAGTCACAGTCAATGAGTAGCCGTAGCAACAACAAACAAATGACACCTTTGCGTGGCATAGGCGCGCGGGATGAATCTGTTAAAACTGGCCCTTCGGGTAGACCTGCTTACTTTGGTCTTGCCGCACGGCAAGGTAAGCGTGGTGGTGCAAGTGGTTCACCGGCCAATTTTCCTAACAGCCGTCGTGGTCTGACGCTGGGTTTCAAAAAACCACAATCGCCTGCCTTCGATACTAAAGTGGTCCCCTCACTCGACGATGATTCTCAGGATAAAATTGGGAAAAAGGCGATATCTATCGCTCAGGAATATGTGTCAGTTGTTGACCTGACCGAGGCTGAAGCATGTCTTGTCGAGCTTCAAAAGGAGTTTAGAAA